CGTCTATCCATAATGAAAGCATCGGAATCAAGCTAAACAATGTGTTATACGTCCCAAATGTGCGAAGGAATCTGCTGTCAGTCTCCAAGATAGAAGAAAACGGCAACCGTGTGACCTTCCGTAATATGGTAGCTCGCGTTTTCAACCCAGAAAACAGGATTATAGCGGAAGCGACAAATGTAAATGGCCTCTAATTGTGAAAGGTAAGACCTTAAACTCCAGTAAAACAGCATTTAATAGTGAATGGGACCATTTTCAGAACAATTCCTTGAGAACGTGGCATCAAAGGTTATGCCATATTGACAGTAACGCCATTGAAAAGATGGCGCGGGAGGAGCTGGTAATAAGCTTAGAAATTTCCTCTAGAGACAAAGGCCTATGCAACGCTTGTTGTATCGCTAAATCCACTAAAGCTTCACATAAAAACCTAGGCAATATTGGATCAAAACGGACCTTGGAGCTTATCCACACAGATATTTGCGGCCCAATGCCGGTAAAATCAACTGGAGGCAATAGACACCTTCTATCTTTTGTTGATGATTTCTCAAGAAGGATTACTGTGTATTTTCTGAAAAACAAAGATAAAGTATTAAAACATTCCGATATCTATAGAGCCACTGTAGAGAGACAAACTGGTAATAAAATTAAAGTCTTACGATCGGATAATGGACTTGAGTTTTGCAATAGAAAATCCCAAGACAAATTACAAAACTAGGGATAAAGCATGAACGCACGAACGTGTATTCTCCGAAAATGAACGGTGTGGCAGAACGTGTAAATCGAACACTTTTAGATATGGCCCGCGCTTGTTTACATAGCGCTAATCTCCCCCAAATATTTTGGGCATAGGCGGTAAACACAGCTGCTTACATTAAAAACAAATGTTTTAATAGTGCTATAAAAGACAAAGTACCTGGTAGACTTTGGTTAGAAAGAAATCCTAGTGTAAGACACCTAAAAGCATTTGGATGTTTGGCATATAGCCACATACCAAGAGAAAGAAGGCGAAAATTAGACCATCGAGCATGTAGATGTATTCTGGTAGGATACTCCACTAAAACACGTGGATATCGTCTCTGGGGTGCCCAGAATCACAAAAGGTGATTGAAACAAAACATGTTAGATTCGATGAGTCTAAAATTGGACTAGAGTGGACCAAAATAGTCGAAGAGACAGAACCGGAAAGGTACAATCACGTTTGGCTAGAACCTGAGACTAATTATAATAACGACCTAGAGAATGAATTACCGAGTAATTTGGATTCAGTGGGGGTGGAGGACGCTCTGCCACAACCCTCCACCTCCAAAAACATTGTTCGAAATCCATATGGGAGGAAAGGTAAACCAAGAGTAGAGTTAAATCTTTTAGATGTTACCGAGCCGCAAAGTTTTGAAGAGGCAGACCGATCTCCCGAAGCCGTGTATTGGAGAAAAGCAATGGACGATGAGCTTAGAGTGCTTCAGGAACGAGGCACTTAGGAGCTATCAACATTACCGCTGGGAAAGAAACCAATTAGCAGCAGATGGGTGTATAAGGTGAAGACAAATGAGAGCGGAAATGTAGAGCGTTTAAAAGCACGTTTAGTAGCTAGAGGTTTCTCACAGAAACAAGGAATCGATTTTCAGGAAACTTATGCACCTGTTATTAACTTAGCTGTAATCAGATTTTTGATAACGTTAAGTTTGAACATGAAATGGTACAATAGACATCTCGACGTAGATAACGCTTATCTATATGGCGACTTAGAAAGAATAATTAGCGGAGAGATCAAGATTGTCTACATCCCTACAAAGGAGAACCTGGCCGACGTCTTCACCAGGACCCTGAGCAAAGTGGCTCACAAGAACGCCTGTGACTTCATGAACTGTTCTCCCGTCCAGCGCTTCAGTAGGGAATGATGAGAGAAGCGTGGACGCGGGCGCCGCTTGGAGGCGCTGTATGAAAATAACTGACCAATGGGAACGGCCCACCTCAACCGCCAGTCTTCTTCCTTGTATATATCAAAAGACTGCCTTCGTTCTACTGCTGTGTGCGGTTGTTATTCTTTTGTAAACATATGTATCCTTATATATAATAATAATAATATATTTATAAAATCACTTATTTGGCTGTTCTTTTTGCAACATCGACCCACAACACGGTCTATATACAACATTTTCGTTATATTTTACTTCGTGTATCACAATTATTTTTATTCTCCAGATATTAGTAGTTATATTTATTTTTTAATTTATTCAATTTTCCAATAGTAGATTTTTTCTTTCAAATTTTACTTTATTTATTTATCATCACCCCCCCAAATTGCTTTGTTTCCAAAACATTTGAGCATGACTTATTAATTTCTATCAATTTTTAATTATAGATATTTCGTGTAGCTAATTAATTGTTAATTACCTTTATCTTAATTGTTAGTATAATTGTTTGTTTCATATTTTTATTTTTTACAAGCAAAAACTGCTATCTTCCCGAATGTATAAACTTTGATTAGAAAAAGATTCCATTTAACCTTTTTTGAAATTTTGAGTCAAAATATATAGGATCCCACGCAAAAGCTGCAATGTATCCTACATTGGAGAGACAGGCCGTTTCCTTGGGACCAGACTCCAAGAACACAAATCTTCTTGGAAGTATGCAAAAGAAAGGTTTGCCATGGTGGAGCATGGTCTCCGATCGGGACATCAGCCAGATTGGGAAAATACTTCCACTATTTACAGGGGCATCCAGAACTCGCACCAGAGGAAGTTCCTGGAGGCCATAGCATCAATGAAGGACCCTGCTAGTGTAAATAGATACGAAGAAATCCCCGAACCTTATTTGTCTCTTTTAACTTAATTTTTTTTTCTAATAATCGCAGTCAATTTAATTTGTTTCTTATTTTTATTTCCTTAAATTTCGTTTGAAAAACATTAAAAAATACTGCATTACAAAAAAACCTTTAATTTTCAAAATATTTTATTATATTATTATTATTATTAATTTTTTTTTAATCATTATTAATAATTATTTTTGACCAATGACAAATTTGTTTCCATATGATGTACAATAAATTGTAAATTAAATTCACTGTACAATAAATTGATAAAGAGGGAGCAATCTCTCGAAATATTTTGAGAAAAAAATTGTTTTTTTTTTCTTTTACAGATCCAGGTACGCCCTTTTTTATAATCTTATTTGAAATGTTGCTTATAAGAAATTAGAATATACACATTGAAATTTTTAAGCTAACACATCTATACTCTTAATTTGTCTTCCCAGGCCTTTCGGGTACACCCAGGGTCACTCGGCTAGTCAATAAATAATTCCATATTCAACCTACAGATTCAATCGTTAATTCGAAGAAATCGTTGAATCGAAGTTATATTGTATATAATATACTGCGGCCTGTTATTGTAAAACGACACTTGAAGTTACACCGCATAAGTTTCTTTTTAAACGATAAATCAAATTTTTATTTCAAGGTGAAATAACGACTATTTTTAACCTTTTTGGATGAGGTATGAAAAGATGAATTATGAAGAGTAATGGCGATCGGAAAAATAAAAGTGTCCAAGGGCGGGAATCGAACCCACAACCTTCTGCTTACCAGGCAGGTGCCATGTCCACTAGGCTACCCTGGACGTATTCCTCCGATCGTAAATAATATTTAAAGTAACTTATAATACAATATAATATACTGCGGCCTGTGATTGTAAAACGACACTTGAAGTTACACCGCATAAGTTTCTTTTTAAACGATAAATCAAATTTTTATTTCAAGGTAAAATAACGACTATTTTTAACCTTTTTGGATGAGGTATGAAAAGATGAATTATGAAGAGTAATGGCGATCTGAAAAATTAAAGTGTCCAGGGGCGGGAATCGAACCCACAACCTTCTGCTTACCGGGCAGGTGCCATGTCCACTAGGCTACCCTGGACGTATTCCTCCGATCGTAACTAATATTTAAAGTAACTTATAATACAATATAATATACTGCGGCGTGTGATTGTAAAACGACACTTGAAGTTACACCGCATAAGTTTCTTTTTAAACGATAAATCAAATTTTTATTTCAAGGTAAAATAACGACTATTTTTAACCTTTTTGGATGAGGTATGAAAAGATGAATTATGAAGAGTAATGGCGATCGGAAAAATAAAAGTGTCCAGGGGCGGGAATCTAACCCACAACCTTCTGCTTACCGGGCAGGTGCCATGTCCACTAGGCTATCCTGGACGTATTCCTCCGATCGTAACTAATATTTAAAGAAACTTCTAATACAATATAATATACTGCGGCCTGTGATTGTAAAACGACACTTGAAGTTACACCGCATAAGTTTCTTTTTAAACGATAAATCAAATTTTTATTTCAAGGTAAAATAACGACTATTTTTAACCTTTTTGGATGAGGTATGAAAAGATGAATTATGAAGAGTAATGGCGATCTGAAAAATAAAGGTGTCCAGGGGCGGGAATCGAACCCACAACCTTCTGCTTACCGGGCAGGTGCCATGTCCACCAGGCTACCCTGGACGTATTCCTCCGATCGTAACTAATATTTAAAGTAACTTATAATACAATATAATATACTGCGGCCTGTGATTGTAAAACGACACTTGAAGTTACACCGCATAAGTTTCTTTTTAAACGATAAATCAAATTTTTATTTCAAGGTAAAATAACGACTATTTTTAACCTTTTTGGATGAGGTATGAAAAGATGAATTATAAAGAGTAATGGCGATCGGAAAAATAAAAGTGTCCAGTTGTTGGGTTCGATTCCCGCCCCTGGACACTTGTATTTTTCCGATCGCCATTACTCTTCATAATTCTTCTTTTCATACCTCATCCAAAAAGGTTAAAAATAGTCGTTATTTTACCTTGAAATAAAAATTTGATTTATCGTTTAAAAAGAAACTTATGCGGTGTAACTTCAAGTGTCGTTTTACAATCACAGGCCGCAGTATATTATATTGTATTATAAGTTACTTTAAATATTAGTTACGATCGGAGGAATACGTCCAGGGTAGCCAATAAGGGTGGACATGGCACCTGCCCGGTAAGCAGAAGGTTGTGGGTTCGATTCCCGCCCCTGAACACTTTTGTTTTTCCGATCGCCATTACTCTTCATAATTCATCTTTTCATACCTCATCCAAAAAGGTTAAAAATAGTCGTTATTTTACCTTGAAATAAAAATTTGATTTGTCGTTTAAAAATAAACTTATGCGGTGTAACTCCAAGTGTCGTTTTACAATCACAGGCCGCAGTATATTATATTGTATTATAAGTTACTTTAAATATTAGTTACGATCGGAGGAATACGTCCAGGGTAGCCTAGTGGACATGGCACCTTCCCGGTAAGCAGAAGGTTGTGGGTTCGATTCCCGCCCCTGGACACTTTTATTTTTCCGATCGCCATTACTCTTCATAATTCATCTTTTCATACCTCATCCAAAAAGGTTAAAAATAGTCGTTATTTTACCTTGAAATAAAAATTTGATTTATCGTTTAAAAAGAAACTTATGCGGTGTAACTTCAAGTGTCGTTTTACAAGTTATATTGTACTTGCTAAAAGTTTGTTGAACTTATTTTTTATAGGCTCATGAAGATTGAGTGCTATATACATTATCTTTTTAAGACCCGAAAGAAGACAACTAAATACTTCTCGTCAGCAGTCTTTAATCTCCTTAATTGATTTCAAAAGAGAGTATTTCTCTAATCGACCAATGCACAAGGTGATTTACTATAGGATCCTCGAGAGAATGGAAGCCATTACGAAATTAATCTTTGTTTCCCACAATAAATTCTTAGATGTTTCAAAGATGGACTAAGCGAACGCCTTCATAACACTAATTATATATATATATATGTGCTGTAATGTAGTTTTACCCTGTAGGATGTATGTAGTGTGGCATTTTAGTTACAGTCGTTGTGGCCACAATGTTCAGAGTGGATTAAGGCGTGAAATGAATTACATAAAAAAACAAGGCATGTTGAATGTCACCTTAGAAAAAGCGAGAGAGCAAGTGAAGGCGACGCCGGTCAAGGCAGGTCTGTCTTGGGCGGTCTGTCAATCATCGTGTTTCAAAGCGGACTGTAGTTTTTTGAGCCAAAGGAGCACACCTGGTACCCCGACATGTTCATCGGACCTTTTTTCCTGTCTGGCGCCGCTGTCACTCAATCTAAGTTTATTATTTTGTTTTGCATTACATGATGGTCGAACTGGTGATTTAAATTGTTTTTACAGTTTTGGTTATTATACTATAGCTATATTACATATGATATATAAGTATATATTAGAATATATTACAATATATATAGATGGAAATTTTGCCGGGAGGAAATTGATCTTAAGAGACAAGGGTCGCCTCTCCCGTCAAAATAGACGTCTAAAACCAGACGCCATCTATTGACCGTCGCCGCAACTAGCGGCCTCGGGTCGGTGACAAAGCCACAACACCAGCTTTGGCAAATTGAAAAGCGTCCACCTAGAGACCATGGTTTCGGGCTAATGGCCCTCGTCAGTCTAGGGCGGACTTTATTCCATGAGATCCACACGGGATCTAATGGAATCTTGACAATCTGCCAAATCTGTTGTGGTTTTGTCACCGACCCGAGGCCGCTAGTTGCGGCGACGGTCAATAGATGGCGTCTGGTTTTAGACGTCTATTTTGACGGGAAAGGCGACCCTTGTCTCTTAAGATCAATTTCCTCCCGGCAAAATTTCCATCTATATTTTAGCCATAGATATGGCCCAGCCACTTTGCCAGCTAAACACCTCTTTGGCAGATTGTCAAGATTCCATTAGATCCCGTGTGGATCTCATGGAATAAAGTCCGCCCTAGACTGACGAGGGCCATTAGCCCGAAACCATGGTCTCTAGGTGGACGCTTTTCAGTTTGCCAAAGCTGGTGTTGTGGCTTTGTCACCGACCCGAGGCCGCTAGTTGCGGCGACGGTCAATAGATGGCGTCTGGTTTTAGACGTCTATTTTGACGGGAGAGGCGACCCTTGTCTCTTAAGATCAATTTCCTCCCGGCAAAATTTCCATCTATATTTTAGCCATAGATATGGCCCAGCCACTTTGCCAGCTAAACACCTCTTTGGCAGATTGTCAAGATTCCATTAGATCCCGTGTGGATCTCATGGAATAAAGTCCGCCCTAGACTGACGAGGGCCATTAGCCCGAAACCATGGTCTCTAGGTGGACGCTTCTCAGTTTGCCAAAGCTGGTGTTGTGGCTTTGTCACCGACCCGAGGCCGCTAGTTGCGGCGACGGTCAATAGATGGCGTCAGTTTTTGACGTTTATTTTGACGGGAGAGGCGCCCATTGCTTCTATGGATTAATTTCCTCCCGGCAAATTTTCCATCTATATATATATATATATATATATAGTGTAAAAACTATATAACAAAAATATAACAGTGATTCCACATTTAAAACTCAAGGAGCAAACTGATAAGAATGATAAATCATATCAAGTAGATTTGGTTAGATTAGCAAGCTAAATCTAAATTAATTATAACAATAAATAGTTGTATAGTTTTATAGTTAAGTTTTGTATTAAAATTATCTTCATTATTTTGATTATTTAAATTCAAATTATAAAAATTGTAAATTGTTATTATTTAGTATAGATAGAGAAAAAAAAGTCCTTTACTTCTAAAACATCATCTAGTTAATTATATATTTATAATGAATAACAATAAAATTTAACAACGTAACGTCTTTTGCATCGGCTTTTACACGTCATTTAGACATACTCTAACCTATATATAGAATAATAGAAGTGAGAATATATATAATATTATAAATTTTAGTAGTTAGAGAAAAGAGAGAAAGACAGAACCATGCACTTTTAATCAAACTAATAATAAGAAAACAAAAAGTTTTGTAAAGAAGGTAGATAAGATTGTTAGTATATATATATATATTTTTATAATTTTATATTTTATCCTTTTTTTTAATGATTTTTTAAATTTTTTTATTTTAAAATATGAATATAAATAGTTGTATTTAGTAATATATCTATACTATGAATTAACTTTTGTTATAAGTTTGGTTATTATGTTTTGAAACCCTAATTGTAGACCAGACATATTCAAAAAAAATTAAATTGGAATAATTATTGGAAAAAGAGATCTGCTGGACCGGGAATTCTCAAATAGAAGTCCAGCGACATTTCATCCCTTCTCTATTATGTCATAGATCTCTTTTCAACCGGATTTTATGTGTTAATATAAAGTTACTTCAGTGAAACATTTATATGAACATTTATATAAGTGTTAACAAATTCCAACTGTGAACCTACCTCGTCCGCGACGCCTTCAACAGTAAACATCTATTTCTGGATGACACATGTTGTGGGGGGGGACAAAATTAGACCGCTTATTCTGAAGTTTTAGAACAACAAGATATCCAAAGAAGAAAGAAAAGATAGTTAAGGGAAGAAATCCAAACTTTATAATCTTTACAGCCAGTTATATTAATATAACTGATTCAACACTTATTCATCTTTCAATATTCCTTTAAAAAGGCAAATTATTAGAGTTTAATAAAGCTATTAATTGTGAAAATTCACTTTTATTTAATTTCCATTTTCCTCCCCAGAAATTGGAGATTAAACAAAATGAACTCTATACAATATTACTTTAAAAATCTTGTGAAAAAATCTTCAAATCAGCTATTTAATTTAAGTTTAACTAATTGTTAAAGATTATAAATTTGTATTAGTTATTATTGAGAGAAATTATAGAAAGTTGATTTAATAAATGGATACTTCCATTTATTTTTTTAAAAGTATTTTATAATTGATATACTGTTGAAATATTTTACTTGTCTGATACTAAATTTGTTTTTAATAAATTCCATGTTTAAATTTTTAACATCTTCTATGAAATTTTCTAATATATTATTTATTCTATAAAATCTTAGAAACTGACCAAAATATATACCTTTACAGCAATTTAATGATATATTAGAATTCATATTACAGTATTTTATAATATTGAAATTATAATTCCTTTTTTTATTATAAATTTTAATAGCATTATTTGTAAGGTCTATATTTAGGTCTAAAAAGTTAACTTTTTTGTTTCTATAAATTTTTTCATTGTTCTTAAGTTTCAAGTATTTAGGATATATTTTAGGTATTAAGTTTTTGAACTGTGGATTATTAAATATTATGATGTCATCTACATAACGGAACATTTGCCAATTAACATTATTTTGTAGAAAGTATTCTCTTTCGTACCAGAATAATATTAGGTTTGCTAATAAAGGACCCGAAGAAGGTCCCATGGGAACGCCTTCTGATTGAATATATATTTTATTTTTAAATTCTATATAGTTAAAATTTAAAAATGTTTCCAGTAGAGTTTTTGCTGTTTTAAGATCTAATTTAATTGTTTTATATCTGTTATGAATAATTTTAATGTGGAAAGTTTTGTCATTAATGATTTCGTTAAATAAATATTGGTTATTTTATTATTTAGATCTCTTAAATTTATTTTAGAATATAGGTCCTCAAAGTCAAATGTGTGTACTGTTTCAATGTTTGTCCAATTGTTCATTAAATAGTTAATGATTTTTTTATTTGAGTCGATAAATTTATAATTATATTTATTAGTTAATTTATTTATAATAAATTGTAGTGTTGAAGCTAATTGTATATCAATGTTTTTTATAACTGAATTTATACCAGATGTGATTGTTCTGAAAGAAATAGGTTTTTTGTGTAGTTTAGGAATTATATAGAACTTTGGTATGTTTGGATTTTTGTAGTGATTATAATTTTTTAGTGAATTTTCAACGTTTTTGATGTCTTTTTTGATTTTTGTGGCTGTAGTTCTAGCAAAAGTGTATTTATGATTATTATCAATTTCCTTTTTTAGTATATCGTGGTATAGATTTTTACAAATTATAGATAAGTTATTGGAACATTTATCTATAGGAGTGATAATAAAGTCCTTCTGTAAATTAATTATATTTTCTTTAAAAGAAGGAATATCTGAATTAGGTTTTGTGTATTTAAGTGTATTATTATAATAATTTATAATTTCCTTTTTAATATTATGTTTCCATTCCAGAAAAGTAAA